CATCTCTTTTTTTCCTGGAAACTGGGTTAGAATCACTTCCTGTGTAATACTTGTAGCACCACAGACATGCCCACAGACTTGATGGACAAATGATAAATGTACGAGACTGCTAATTGTCACCCGAAAGAGGAGATACTGACATTCAATCTGATAGTAATAGAGTAGATCACTAATATGATGAAAAGCCAGGAACTTTGGCATATGGTGAACGAGGATAGGATGTATTCACGGAGCATGTCATGACACACGTGATCACCTAGTCTTAGTCCCACATCAAGAATAGATGGAGGAATGCGGTAGGCACTCAATAAACTGCTCAATATTCATGCACACGACCTAGATATCTCTTCTATTTGGCCAGATTTACGTCAATCTTCTGTGCCGATGACAAAACTCACCTAATGGCCACTAGCTGAAAGTTTGAGAGAACAGAAAACATAATAAACTGAATGCAGAAGTGAGATCCCTGCAGCATTTATGCCATAGAGAACCTTTTTTGCCCACACCGGTTTCAAACTAGAAAAGGTTGGTATAGACTCTCATACGTAATTTAACACATCCATGATGTACTATTTGAAGAGATAAGGAAAAGTAATTTGGCCAGGCAGAGAATTCCGACTCAAGGATCATACGCATATTCACAGAGTCATTGTCTATATTGAAGCGCCCTTTCAACTCAAATTATGGCTAAAACTTCTGTAAAATTTTCAAAGGCAAAGCAATGAACTAGGACCCACCACAAATTACAAGATACCTTATCACTTTAAACATACCACAATACAAGTTAATAAGCACATGACTCACCCATTCACCAGGGCAAAGTGCACGGTAGTATTTTGCGAATCTTGCACAGTCAGCAGCCTCATCACCCTTTGCAGCAACGCACCTGAGGTTTGTGAAGAAGCAAGAGTTGGTAAAACAACCACAAAATGACTACGCCTCAAAGTAACAACTTTGGATGATCCACATATTACAAGAACAATTCAAGTTCACAAGGTTAGAAAAAGCAGTATCAAGATACGATCTTCTAAAAGGTGACCACAGTCCACAAATAATGAACCGACATTTTTTCCTTTTTTTTCAAACGGTTGGACGTGTAAATTAATAGACTTTATAAAATCTTGAACCAATACCACCCCATACATGACTAAATCCACCATTTCTTCTCTTTACCATTTTTTGGTTGGTGGATGGGTGATGGTAAGTGCTTCACAACAACAACAACAAAAAACCCAGTGTAGTCCCATAAGTGGGGTTTGGAGAGGGTAGGGTGTACACATACCTTTACACTACCTCAAGGAGGTAGAGAAGTTGTTTTCAAAAGACCCTAACCTTGAGTAACGCGCAATTTATAACGTCATGAAATGAAACAATCTTGTTTCATTGCAGAAAGGCATGCATTAAGCAGGATTTCAAACCGTCTTTAGCAAAATTTCAATATTGGGAGTTCAGTCCCTAGTTTGGCAGATGATCTTAATTTAGTGGACACTAGCCTAGACTAAGCTTTTCATTGTTCTCTTTCAAAGAAGAAATAAAGATAGATTGCCAAGTACATTTAAGGGATTATTAATCCTTTAAACGTCATGTTTTCAAGAGCAACAGAGAAACAAGTCTACGAAGCACCAACTTCTGTAAAATGCATGGGAATTTACCTATGAAACTCAACGTAGCGAGTGAAACAGTGCCTAGTTTGGTTGGTTGTTGGGAACCGGAAATCAGCTGGGGCAGTCTTAAGTTCAATCTGAAAGGCACACAGAGTTGAAGGCATAAATAAAACATGAATAACAAGTACCAAAGTAATCCAAGTGAAGTAAATACATTCACAAAGTCACAGAAAATTCTTTAAACACCTTAAAAAGAGAGCACTACCATGTATCTTCCATTTTGAGTTACAATTAGTTTTTACCTTTTATCAATATAATACTTGCGGACTACAACATGAACGGTAAAGCTCTCTATTTTCTAAAACTAAAGCTTTCTGAATGACAAAAACCAGAAGATCTAGACCAAACTGTAAAATAAATTGAGAAACTTAATGTGACAGGTAAACATATTGACATTACTTGGAGTGGAATCAGATTAAAGAAAAAACAATCTAAAACCAAAAAATAAAAAAATCTTTACCACGATGCTGAAAACATCACAGTAGTTTCTGGTAACATCACTCGTCCCGCCCTTAACACTGAGCAACCTTGTTATCAAAAATACTGAGCAGAAGCTTAAGAAGTCATTTCCACAGACGAGCCTCACATAATCTCTATAGCAAAAATCTTGAATGTGTTATCGACCTTAAGTGAATTGTTAACCTGATTACAAATTCAATTAACTTATCACAACCAACAACAACAACACACCCTGTGTAATCCTACAAGTGAGGAATGGGGAGGGTAGAGTGTGCGTAGACCTTAGCCCTACCTTGGGAGGTAGAGAGGCTGTTTTCAATTAACTTACTACCAACTCAGTAAAAAAGAAAAATACTTGAAGCGCGTTGGCTACAAACTAACAATTTCTAGAACTCATTTAAGCTGGAGATGAGACCTCACACCTCAAACATCAATCTACAATTACTGCTAAAGCTTAGTACTATTTCACAAAACTGCCAAAAAAATTTCTTCACTCAATCAAAATCCAGCACTATAGTTGAATCCAATACCGCAATCCTTCAATTGTGCAACCTATTTATCCAAATTCTTCAACGCTTTTCCCCTTCTAGTTTTTGTTCTTTGTTTATTTCTTTCAGGAAAGAAGGCATAGATCAAAGACTTCACCTTTCCAGAAACCAACTTTCATATTCATCCACAACACATAAAACTAATAACCTCCACAAGCAATTCTTTAACAAAGAACTTATCCTACCTTTACACACAAAAGAAAACTCACACATCTATAAAAATTTATCTAAGCACATACACACCAACTACAACAACCAGCAACATCGGTTCTACAGAGAACTGCATAGATTGCCAAAGAACCTACAGAAATCTGTTCTTTTATATCAACTCTATCATATATCACCATCTCACTGAAAAGGCAAAATACTCGAAGCTTATAGGCTACAAACTAACAATTTCTAGAACTCATTATGAGCTGGAGATGGAACCTCAAACATAAATCTAAATTACTGTTAATCTTAGTACCAAATCGCAACAGGGCTGAGAATTCCTCATTCTATCACCATTAACATTCTAGTTGAATCCACTACTCCAATCCTTCCATTAAGCAACCTATTCGTCCAAAATATTCAACCCATGTTTTAGTTCTTTAGTTATTTCTCACATGTAAACACTTAGATCAAAGACTTGGACTTTACACCTCTCCATACACAAATTTCACATTCATCCACAACCCATAAAACCAATAACCTCTACAAGCAATTCTTTGACTAAAAAAAACCACTAAAACTCACTTACGCCCAAGGGTGTGAGCTAGTGGTCTATGAAAGAACCATGATGTCTCACGTTCAAATATCAGCAGAGATAAAACACTAGACGATTGCTTCCCATCTATTCTAGCCTTGGTGAAAAGAATCACCTAGTTACTAGTGGGAGGTGGCATGAATCCCATAAAATTAGTTTAGGTGAACCTAAGTTGGCCGCGACACCACGATTATTAAAACAAAAAATCCCACATCTATACATATTTATCTAAACACACACACACCAACACTAGTCGAGAATGTGCGCAAGCTTGTTCAGACACCATAGTTATCCAAAAAAAAAAATCCCACATCTATACATATTTTTCTAAGCACATACACATCAACCACAATAACCAACAACATGAGTTCTACAGAAAAGCTGTACAGATCGCCAAATAAAGCACAGAAATTTTCAATAAGAAAAAAAAATCTGTTCTTTTATGTTTATTCTACCATATATCAATAAAATCCTTTGTAAATCCATGAATAACTATAGAATCATCAAAAACGAATGAAAAAAAAAAACTTGGAAAAGGGGAAAATAAACAATTAAGACAAAATAAAACTAGGGTTTGTCTTTTCTTGGAAAAATTTTGCTTTACCTCGGCCATGGCTGATGCAAATCAATGCGAGAAGAAGCTTCAAAATTGACTCAAAATGAAAAAAAATAATTAGTGAATGGTTAATTATAAGTTTATAAATTTTGGATCCGAATCATTTGGGTGTTGTTTTTAAATTTTATTTCTTATTTTTTCAAAAAAAAAAATTGTTTCATTGACCAAAAAAGGTAGTATTATTTTTCATATTGGAGAAAAAATTAAAATATAAATTAATATATTGAAGAATCAATGATGAGTTGTGGTTAGAGATGAAATATCACTCGAAATTAAAGTTAATTAGTTCTTCATTCTTCACGTACTAAGGGTCTTCTCTTTCTCCTTGCGTACGAGTAATAATAATATTTGCATTATTTATTTTGAAAGTTGTTACGCTTTATCAATTATCTGTTATGTCTTCTTTTGTAATTTTTTTTTTCTTCAAATTGCTTTGATATGAATTATCGAAAAGTGTGTGATCGCTTCCTGGGGTCAAAAAATTTTGATACAAGTGATAAAGGACAATAATCTCGTCAGAATTGTTTACGATAACCTTCACAATGGGATCGTTTGGCACAAGAAATAAAAGATGATAATCTTAAGATAAATTATAAGATTGTATTTTCGTTATTTTATTTGTCAACCGATCAAGCAACGTACCAAAACAACCCTAAAAGAGTATAACTAAGACTATTGGACAATTGGGAATAGGATATTGTATAATTAAAAGATGCTATATTTTCACGAAGAGTGTTTAAACAAAAAAGATTTTACCGATGAAGATTCAGCTGAACCCCTTCACCATAAGTAGTATACAGACAGACCCGAATAAGGGCATGTACATCAGAAATTCAACCACACATTTAAATAGAGAAGTATCATTTGCCACAACAACTACGACAAGCCTAGTATAGTTTCACGAGTAGGGTTCGAGAAGCATAGTATACACCTAACCTTAACCCTTCTTTACGAAGGTAAAGAGGTCGTTTCCGAAAGACTCTCCCCATATAAAAATGATATGAAAAGAAGTAGCCTTTGCTAATAATCCATAAACATGAAAATTTTCCATGGACTAGAATATGTGCAGGTAAACTAAGTTGGCATACTGAAATGTACAATTCTCCAGTCTCATGAACTACTTTTTCAGCCTTGCAAATCTTACATCAGAGCTGTTAAAATCCTCTCCAAGTTAAACGCGAAAAGGAATCGCGTAAGTAAATTTAAATACAAGTTCCAAGGATGCAAAACCGGTTGACATCGCGAAGATTCAACCTTTGCCAAGCAGACCAAAAATCACACAGCAGAAAATTCAAGTCCCGCCTTGTGGAGCATCAAGATTTCCTCCCTGTGCTACATTGCCATCAGTAACGGGGGGAGGTGGAACTCCTGTTCTGCCCTGAGCAATTACAGCCACGCTGCTTCCATATGGATACGTTGAGTCTCCCATAGTGCCAGGAGCTGCTGGAAGATGAGATCTCTGGTAACTGTCTATATGGGCCGGTAGATGCATAGGAGGAGCCGGATACATGGGATTTGAGTTCAAGTAGGGGTGACCATAAGGATCAATACCTACGGAACATGAAAATACACAGCATATATTATGATAAATAGATACATAATACATCAACAACATACTCTGTGTAATCCCACAAGTGGAGTCTAAGAAAGGTAGTGTGTGTATGCAGACCTTACCCCTACCTTTAAAAGGTAGAGAGGTTGTTTCCAATAGACCCTCGGCTCAAAATGAACAATAGATAGTTAGATACAGAAAAGGAGCCCAAATTAGCATAATGCTGATGTGCCGAATATTAGCATACTGATTACCTCGAGCTCTTCTCTCGGCAATTACCACCTGAGCACGCAATCTCTCCACTTCGTTGGCCATGTCAATCAATTCTTTCTCTGTGAGTTTCATTTGCTCAACTTTCTCTATGTTCAAACCTTTTTCATACTGAAAGGTCTTGCTGCATGTTCCAATAAAGTAAAACAATCATGATTTCAGAATCCAGAGAGTTTTGCTTCACACGGCATGCAGTCATAAAGACATATCATCAACATGGCAGGATCCAAATGCTATACCCAAACAATTCCAGGCAATATTATATTTAAGTGAATTTTGGACGTTTACGCATAGCCGTAATGACAAAGTCTGATCAAAACTTAAAAGGTGGACCTAAAATATGATAGAGAAAGTTATCTCTAACATTTGTGGACTTGGTTAAGAGCAAAGAGAAACAAAGGATCCATAAAAGCAATAACAGTTGATCATAAAGCTTTAGATATTATCGTTGCACTCACATAGATCCGGTGTTTTCCACAAGTCCTCCTATTTGAGTTAGAAACTTGTACATTCAGTAGGAGTAAGTGTAAGATTTAGAGAACCCTCTAGTTCTATAAAACCCATAAATTAGTCTTAAAAGACAAAATATTTAATATTGGAAGAAAATATGTCTACAAGAGCAACACAAATACGAAGAATTTGTAAAGCTAGCCCGACTAGTTTGGAAATGATTCATACTAGATTGATATATAGCTATACACCAATGTTGCAGGACTCTCCAAAATGATGCTGCACCCATGTCGGATTCTCCAAAAATAGACTAGTTTTGGAGTATCCGGCACACAACCATTGAAATTTTTGAAGTCAACCAAGTCCATTCAAGGGTAATGGGTAGGGGAAGCTCTTTCAAGGGTAATTAATGGGTAAGGAATCTGTTCATGCTTCCACCTAAACAGCAACTCAAGACAATTAAATAGAAGTAACCTGTGGTTTATTTTTCCTGGAGGAAGGTTGGTAAAAGAGACATGTTTCAACTTACCGCAGCTCCTGGTATTCTTTCTTTAAGGAATCAAGTTCAGCATGCATCTCAGGTAGCTTCTTGACATCTGCATGAGCTTTCTCCAATTTCTCCATAACGTGATGTACTTTTCCGCTCAGTTCCATATTGGCTGATACCAAGCTTCGTGCTTCCAAATGGGCCTCCTCCACATCTTTCCTCATACTCTCCATGGTTCTAAGGTCCACATCCATCTTGGCAATCTTGTCATGCAACAACCGGACCTGGATGTCGCCTTCTGTTTGAGTACTTTTTATATATTCCTCGAGTTCCTGTAACTCTCTCTGAGCAACAGAATATTCCTGCTTTAAGGCAACATATGAAGCTGCCAACCGATGATGGTCTCCAGCAAGGTGTTCTATCTCTGCAGCCCTAGCAGCAAATCTGCTCTCCCGAAGCTCAGGATGAGGAAATGGATCAACGCGGCGGCGGCCAGCAGCCAATTCTTCATGAAGCACCATTCCTGGAGCTTGTAGTGACCGTCCATATGACGCTGGTACTTGTCTTCTGGAAGCCATCTTTTCACCAGGCCCCAGAACTAAAAAAGGCGAATACTTGTTTTAAGGTTTCAATATTAGGAAGTATTTACCTGCTTTGGAGAGAAGATAAACTATGAGATTATTATTCTAAATAACTGCAGCTTACCAATTTTAGGCTAGGAGCTTAAGTTTGATACTACGAATCATAAATAATTGAGGATATGGGGTAAGCAATGCTAATTTGAGGAAGATCGACATCATAAACCAGCAGTGCGACCTTTTAAGGGTAATAGGACGCCTTATCAAATAAAGAAAACAGAGGGTAATAGAACTAAAACAGTGCACTTCTTGGGTTGTGGAAAATTAAGCAGAGAAACTACATGTACTATTAATCACATCAGTTATACAACAACATATCCCGTGTAATCCCATAAGCGGAGTCTTGAGAGGGTAGAATGTTCGCGGACCTTACCCCTACCTTGGGAGGTAGAGAGGATGTTTCCGATTGACCCTTGGCTCAAGCAAAAGCATATCAAAGTATATCGAAAAAGAAATAAATGAAGTGAAGAGATCATGGCAAAATACTATACAAAGCACTCCAAACAAAAAGGAACATTAAGTACACCAAAAAAAGTGATAATCAAAATACAAGAAACAATAGATAGTGATAGAAACTGATGGATAAGAAGCAATTTGAGAAATACCACGACTACTATTTATCAGACCAGTTACATGTCTCCTAATTTAACCATTTCAGAACAGAAAACGAGCATGACTATGCAGATAGGCACAAGCTGTAGCTAAGTGACGGGGAATCAGATAATGAGGTTACTCATTCTGTAAACAGTATGGTTTCTTCACAACCTTCAATTTTTTTTATTGAGTGAGAGAAGAAGACAGATGTACAGTCACTTAGCGGCTCCTTCAGGATTACAAATAATAGGGAGCCAAGGGTGACGAGGGAACTTCAGCAACTTGCTAGCATATATACACAACAAGGAGAAAGACAGCTTTAATGTACTAATACCTGAGAGAATCATTTCTCTACTGGAATCGCTTCACTAAAATTAAATAAATATTCCCTCTAGTCCAAAATAATTGATGTTTTAGGCTTGGGCACATGAATTAGGAATTCACTTACTCAAAACTAAGAAGGGGTTTTGACTAAAATACCCTTAATTATGATTTTCTTTTATTTTTTGGAAAACTTAGACCTACTTACATAACTACCAAAACACCTTCCCGCGCTTTTTCTTCGTGCAGGCTATTCATAACCTAGCGACCGCCAAACACTTGCACCGATTTCCTATTTCAAGAAACAAACAAACTGAATGTGCATCAGAAATTCTTAAAATTACTACCATTGCCTCCGCAACGACTTTCCAAAAGGAAACACTCAACCCGACCAACTAAAACAACCCATTCCCGCGCTTTTTTTTCCTACCAGCTGTTCATAACCTACCAACCCCCAAACACTTGGACCGATTTCCAATTTCAAGAAACAAAAAACTGAATTTACATCAGAATCTTAAATTACTACCATTGCCTCCACAACGACTTTTCAAAAGAAAACACTCAGCCCCCCAACTACAACAACCCTTCCTTCCCGCGCTTTTTCTTCCTGATGGCTATTCATAACCTATCGTCCCCAAAACACTTGCACCGATTTCCTATTCAAGAAACAAACCAAATGAATGTGCATCAGAATCTTAATTACTACCATTGCCTCCATGATGACTTTCCAAAAGAAGACACCCAACCCCACCAACTACAACAACACACACACAACCACACCTTTATTTTTCTTCTTGTGGGCTGTTCATAACCTATCAACCCCCATACACAGATACAAACCTTTTCAGTGACACCTTACTGATTAATGGAGTTGTTGTGTACCATTAGGTCTCACATTCAAATCCCAACAAAACTAAAAAAACAGTATGTGATTTCTACCTATCTATCCAACTCCTTGACAGACAGAGTACAAACTCAAGCTAACCCGAACACCACAGTCATCCAAAAATCAAATCTTTTCAGGATGAAAACCCATAATGGTCAATGCAAAACAGATAAAACACAACAAAAGATCAGGAAAATCAAAGAGGGGCATAATCAAATAAACAAAACTATACATCCCTACTCAATCAATGACATCAAAAAAAAAAAACATTTCAACATAAACACAATCATTTCTTTTAATCAGTAAACAACTAAACAATTTCATCTCCCTAATAAGAAAAAACCAAAATCAAGAAGAACAGACTAAAACAAGCAAAAGAAAAAAGAAAAAACTGAGTTCTTCAACAATGGCTGGAAAAATTGAAGATTTTTTTCATCAAATTAAGACATACCCATAACAAGAAAAGAGAAAAAGATCATACCTTTGTACTAATAACAGCCCATTAAGAAAAAAATTTCTATCAGAGAAGCAAAATTGCGAAGGGTATAGAGGCATTCAAGGGTTGTGTTGTTTCACTTGAAGAAAAAAAATCATCACAATAAGTTTGTAGTCTTTTATAGGAACTTTTTGAAGTTTGCATTTTTAGTCCCTTAAATATTAATAAATTCCAATTCCCCTTGAGGGTTGTTTGAGATGGTATATAAGAATAATATTGAATAATAGAGTTATACTAGTATAAATTTTTATTGACGTTAACATTAAATGAATAGAATATACTATAATAAGAATATAATTGAATAGGGTGTATTAGTAGACGTTTGGTCATTGAAACGAAATACGTGGTCATTTTATTTGAAATTTTTAAAGTTGAAGTCGAAGATGAAATTGTATTTGGTTATAATTTTTGCGAATGTTACTTTTTTTTTGTAACGGTAAATTTTATTTCCAGATGTTTCAATATGTACATATTTGAAGATCAGGATATGGACATAATCTCAATCTCAAAACTCATTTTTTCCTGTATTGGATTAAAAAATCATGTTCCTTTATGATCGGTCCTTCCCTTATGTTGAAAAATTCTATAATTCTTCTCTTGTCAAACGTAATACTTTGAAGTTGTTAGGACTATTCTTTACACTTTATCTTACGATGTTTTATTAGTGATGTGTTTATAGTCTATTCTACTATAAATAAAAAGAGCGAACAAAACAATTATTGAGGGTGAACAGTTTCATATTTTCAAAGAAAAATAGATCGTAAAAGGCCTGGCAAGCACATAAGCTCGATTGAACCTTACTCACTCGAGTGAACCATATTTTAAGAGTTTTCATGAAGAAAAACTAATGTTTAAATAAAGTAAAAAATATATAAATAATTTTTATGATTTACTATATATAAGAATAGGTTGTGTTAGTTATATATAAATTAAAAAAGATAACCATAAAAGGGATTACACAACGCTATCAAAATTATTATTTTCTTGCTAAAATAAACTAAATCAAATGCACTTTAAAGTAAAAGATGTAAATAATTTGTCTTTTAAAGCAAGTAAATAATGAAAAAAAAATTAAATTTCTAAATAACTTAAATTGAAAATCCTTTTAATTGGCATAAATATCCTCTTTAATTCTATTCTAACGGATTAAATATCTTTTACAAGGAATTGGAAGAATCTGCAATGATTTTTTCCCAGAAATCCCCAACGAAATATACAGACTATTCCTTCCTTTCTATCGAAGTGACTTAGACAAATCTTTTGTGTCACATAAACTCAAATCAATCAATCGAATATTGATTAATACATAATCAATCGAATACTACTTGAAAATGGCTCTTCTAGCTCATTTTGCTGCTCTCTCATGATGTCCAAAAAATATACAACAATTCTGCTATATCCACCATGAAATTGGTCCAAGGCCATCAGCATCAAGAGATCCCTAATAATATACAAACAGAAGGAAAAAAAACAGAATTTTAAAGTTAATAAAATAAGAATAACAGAGGAGAATTTTCTAGCACACCAAAATGCAAGATTATTTTGATTAACATAATAGGGACAAGAACTCATTTCAACATTACAAAGAACACTAGAAAAAAAAAGAAGGGTATGAATGGCATTATCTACGAAGGATCATTGATATGAGATTACAAGGTTTTGGGTACACCCCAGACTACTTGGCCGACCTTAAGAGAGCACCCTCGAAGGTGAAAAGTAAGTCACCAACCTAGGCCATGAGCCTTCTTGATTGTCCATTCGACACTGTCCAGGTAATCTCATATGTGATTACTAGGTATGGACAGTCACTCCTAATCATTCCATTAGAGTTCTCACTATTACATGATGTTTAGGTAACCTTTTCAGAAGTTTCAATTTGCACCCAAGGGTGCGGCCTTGATACAAGAGGACGACTCTTAAGATTTCTAGAAAATGGGTGCACCCCTAAAAAAATAGGTGGTCTCTTTCTATCTGCCTGAGCCTTGTTAGCAAAGTGATCCAGTAACTTTATTGGTGGGAGGTAGTAGATAATTGATGAAATAACAGAGGCGCACAACATCATGAATACCAACACAACATCTAAACTCTAAAGGACCTGCTCCATAGGAATTTTAATTCCCCTGTCAACTTATTGAAAATAAACCATTCCATTTTTACCTCAATTTCAAGATATAGCTACTTCATGTGACCAAATGCTAGTATGTTACTGATAAACAACATTGTTTCACCTAGAATTCCAAGATTAAATCCTCTGAAGGTTAAATTTATGCAAGGCATTTTCCTTTATAATGTGTCTGATTCAATTATATCAATTCAACAGTCGGAAAGGAAAAAATAATATACAGCGCGAATGAAGTTTGGTATTGACATACCTTTATGACCATCGGTGCAAATGGTTTTGAATCTTTATCTTGCTCCAGTGGCATTGATGGATAACTAACATTATGGACTTGGAATCTAATCTGCAGTTTATACAATCGTCAAAATTTTAACATACATCATTCGACAAAATGGTGCAGCATTAGCAAAACTGTTAGGTCTAACAACCTCATCTATGCCATCAATAGGATAATCTAGTTCATCAAACTTCCATATCCACCTAACTTGGTTCCTGAAATGGACAATCAAACCATATGTGAAGAAACTTAAGATGTATGATTCAGAAAGACCAACCAGTACATGAGATCCCACCACAAAATTGGACGTTGTGACAAAAAGTACTTACTTGTTTTCAGGATCAGGCTCAGAACGTGATGGATCTGGCAATAGAGGTGCGGGTACATAAATGTCATCGAAAAATCCAAGTGACACTGCCAAGCACAAAACAGAACGAACATTAAGATTCCTTTTCTGAAAGATTTGGGATGTGAAGAATATCTAAAATGAGCAAATCTCACTTCATAAGCTACATATTTTAAATCATAAAGAAACAACATAATGTATAAACGGACTGTCAAATTTGGCCTCAGCTGGCAGGTAAGCACTCCAAGTTTGAGAGTGTACATCTAGACACATCAACTTGGCCAGAAATGGCAACTAAACATTCCAACTCATCCCCACTGCACTCCAATTTTGCATGGTTCAAACAACTAATAGTTTCCAGTGCTAGATAGTTCTCATGCAGATTGTAATACTTGGCTATATATGTCTCACAACGTATATGACAGGAACTTCAACAGAGGGAAATAAGATGAAAATAAATTGTACACATTCTTCGACGCTTACAGCGCAAACCCTCTGCATTGGACTCTTTGAGTTTAGCACTTATTACTTCTCCTACAAATGGGCGAAACACTACCAGTCTAAACTTGACCTGCAAGACACCATGATTTTTCTGTATTAATGAACATGTTATCACAAAAGATACGACAAACAATAGAAAGCTGTTTGATGATAGCCATCAGTCACATGACACATTTAATACCACTGAAATGCTAGTCCAGAAAGAGCTCATAAACTATAGAATTATTACAGAACTTCTTGCAACTAAGAACATCATATTAGCATGTCAAAGATGTCATTGAAACTCGTAAGCGCATTGCTATAAGTAGGATCTCACAACTGCATCCTCAAATGCCAATACACTGAAAGCCTATTTGGTCTTTTATCAAGATGTGTATTAGTCCCTTACCAATTTTAAGGCTAGGATAAAACCATTAGCTACTGATTCAGCTTTACTTATATGGCTAACTGATTATGTATGATATTTTTGGTGAGCTATATTTCTGAAGGACAAGGTTGTATATGCTCCCTATATTTTTAGATGGTGTTGCACCCCCTTCATGCAAAACTATTGGATAGTTCTAACTCTGGCCTTGAAAGAAAAAATCATTAGTACGGAAAATCGTTGACACAGAAGTCTCTTTGGTTATTATGTGGTCAAGCCAGGATCCATTCGTCTAATTGAAAGGTTTTTGTTGTAGGCAAAGACAAGGATATTGAGCATTTTTTCTTAATCAATGAGACATCAGATCTTCATATAGATCATAACAAGGAAGGTAGTAACAGATTTATTGAAGACCAAAGATGCTTACACAGTGACACTTATCCACATCTCTTATTCTTTAAAATCTTGAGGAGGAATTTAGCTTCTTCATTTTGATATTTTTGGTTGGATCAGTGAAGAAGAAAGATATAATTTAGAATAAAGTTGTGTTGTTTTGCATCCCTGCTCAGGAATGAGATCCTCATAATCACAAATTCATATTTAGAGTAAGGAAAAAGTGCAACTGCAATTCCTGGTATGGGGTAGTGATACTCGTAAAGCGAGAGAACATATCAATTGAAATCATTTTATATTAAAAGAAAACAGTTTCAACGAACAGGTTTTGGATAATGGGAATCTCTCATGAGGGACGATGATATGTGTTTGTAGAATCCATTCAAGTTAACCTAAATATAATTAACTGCAGCAACAAGTAGAATACCTTATATGTGGAGGCACCTTCACTTGGATAGATAAAACCGTCATCTACGGAGCGAATATCATAAATAGATATGCCGAGGCCCAAATTTGCAATAACCTTAGCATCGTGTCCAGAAATTAGTGTCTTGTAATAATGCCAAATCTTTTTGAGTTGGGAAATGGATTGAAAACAGTAATGCAGCCTCAAAAGAAAAGAAAAAAATGAACCTTATCCACGAAGAGACCCTCAAGCTCTCCTTTGATTGCTTCATTGAGTGGAAGGTTCAGGAGATGAGGCGGCAACCTCAGTGTGTGTTCTAATACACTCAGATAAAACATGCCTCCTTAAATCTGTAGCAAAGATACACACCAAAAAGATTTATCAAGTCCTACACAAATATACACACTTGTGAAAAAGTCAAAATTTGGTAGACTTGCAAAACAAAGACTATAAGATACGGCTCTTTATCCCATCTGGATCTTTTTAATCTATAGCAAGTTCATTTTTTCTTTTTGCTATCAGCAAGGATCCATGCAGTACCCCATCAAAGAAAATTCTTAGCCTTGGTTGTCATACCCCCAATGTCTTGATTAAATATTGCAATCAAACTAAACAAGGAACTTAACTTCAAAACATCCCCAGTCACAAGCCTCTAACTAAAATCTGAATAAATGAACTTAGGCCATCTCCCACGAGTAAAAAAAAAAAATTAGAAACTGCCAAGAATAACGAAAATATCTAAAAGTAAAAAATGGGGAAAGATCTGCTACAACTGTTATGAATCAACAGACCTTGTCAACTAAATCTAGAACGTCTACTCATAGACATGTGCTTCTTTTCAACACCTGTCACACGATGTGACATGCCTAAATGAGATAAGTATCTCTGGAGGATACCCAGTAAGTCCCATATGCTAATTCCTAAGAAGACAAGGCAAGACCTTTTCAGATAAACATAGCACGAAGAAATCCATGGAAAGCATGTAAACAACTAAAGGTCTGAAACTGATAATAGACTGAACACTGAAACCTTAAGCTACACATGTAAGCAGACAACTAAACTAGAACTTTAAGGTAACACATAAACAGTAATAGAAACTAAGTTACACATTGTGGCCCTGTGTACATGAGATCCAGCAACACACATGGAGGAGTGTCGCCCTATCTCCCAGGCAAACAATAGCCCCTACGAACACTACATAGAGCAGCTAACCCCGGCCATCTTTCTCTCCATTCTAAAATTTCTCATGCTTCTCATATGCATTCACAAGAGCATTAAGTATTCGTACAACGGGACTATGATTTGGTACTTCACTCCAGCAGTTTCACCTTGTATTTGACCATGAAAAACATATATCACCATACCCTCTAATTAAAACTTAGACTAACACAGTTGAACAAGCTACTGAACATATTTGATGGAAAGATTAAAAGTTAAAATCAGGCATAAATTAGATCATTTTAAAGGAAAATACAAGCATTAATCAATAGAATATTACAAATAAGTAAATTTTATACATAATTCACAGTAATCAAAAGTACTCCTTGAGCCGTACAGTAGCTCAATTTAATACACTAATTCTTATATAGCTCCAATTCCCTTCTAAATTTGGGGTAAACAAATCTCATAGCTTTAAGAAAGGAATTTTCATCACTAACTAATCCTTAAAAACATGAATTTCCAGTTGACGATAAGTCACAAACAATACCTCTAAGCTTCAGCGAGGAGGGACACGGCGAGTGGTGACAGAGACCGGCGGCGGAGAGAGGTTCCGGCGACGGCAAGAGGCTCAGCGGCGTTCAGTTCTCTTACCAGCGGTCTTCAGTTAAGGTTTTGAAAATTTTGAATTAGGCATTTGTTACTTACTCAATTTTTAATATTCAAAAATATACAAAAAAAAAAAAACTAAATTAAATTAGAAGTCATTGAATTTAATATAGTTAAGTTATAAAGTTAAAAATAAATGTGTATTAATTAATTATAATTTTATAATAATTTATGAAAACATTATATGTAGTGTTATCTATTGAATTGATGCAAATATCACATATTATAATATATTGGTGGTAATTAAATTAGAGTATAAGAATAATTGCATCCAAAAGTAATAATAAGTTTTCATGCTTAAAAATTATTATGAATATTTATTTAGACAAATATGAAAATGATTTTTGATTTTTAATTCACTCTTTAAGTTTTTTGGGTTGGGTTGGATTAGGTGGGGGCTAGAGTTAGAAAGCTACAAAATTGTTAAAGTTGATGATATGTATATACAAAATTGAGGTATATAGAATTTTATTTGTAAGAATTTAGTTTATACATAAATACAATTCTATTGCGATAATAATTTTTTTATATAGATAATTCAATTATATGAATATATAGCAAAATTTTATCAGTTAAATCTTGATTTTGTACTATAACACGATGCATTTATTTTTATGTATCACGATCTTTCACATTTGAATTGTAAGCATATTAATTTGGATTAAATATTTTTGATAGTCGACTTTAATCTTTTAATTATAAGATTATTGAAATCAATGACATGTAAATATACAAAATAAGGTATACATAGTTTTATACCATTGATAAATTCAACCAAATTAATATTTTTGACATATATATTAGATGTATATGTGTGATTTTTAAAAAAAAAATTATCAACCATTAAATTATAAACATATAATTTAAAAAGTGTAATAAACTCATTGTACTCCATTATTGCTCTAACCAATTTCATCACTTGTCAATTTCTTATTGTTATTTGTCACATTTCAATGTTGATCTAAATAGTGATATTCCATTATAGCAAATGATCATATATTATATTATTTTGACTTGTGCACTAAATATAACCTAGAGAACTACATCTACAAAATTAAATTCACACCTAGATTAATTAATTAAGTCCAAGTTAAATCTAAAACTTTCCTACATATTATTTATATATATATATATATATCATTTTTGGGATCTTTCTCATCATTCCATTCAACAATATTATATGCATTTTATATCCTTCTAAAATATTTTACTAATCAATTCTCCTCATGGCAATGTACATTTTCATTTGTATTATATACATTTCCACTTTGTATATATTTGGCTACATATAATTAAAAATAGTTCAACTTATATGTGTTATTAATATAAAATATTTATTGTACCATTATTACTAAAAAGAAATATTGGTAATTATAGATTTATGATCAAATAAATCGATGAATCGCGAGCTATGATTTATATAGTTATATCGATAAAAAATTATCTTTATTCCAAAAATATATGTTATTCGTCTTAAAATATGGGATTTTATTAGCTTTATTTTATATTTTATTTAAAAGAAAAAGAAAAAAACTCCACTACCATAGTGGATTTGTGGATTGTCACAATATCATCATAGTATATTCTGTATACACCATCAAATCAGCACTCCAATAACCTTTTTGTATTGCATGCTTAGCATTCATTTTTATTTTCTTTGGAGAGACTTTGTTAGCATTCTCATCCACAAATTTTAGTCTCATTTGTTTTGAAATAAATAAATAAATCTAACATAGTATTTTCCTAGTACCATACATTAAGATAAATTTGATGTATAGCATCTATAAATAAATCTACTTAAAGTGTACAATAAGATAAAAGTTATCTGATGGTGTATAACGATATATTTAACTTTTAATTAGTGAATAAATTAGTTAAAAATGTGGTCCACTTGTTTTAGTGCTACCTAATTAGTATCTACAACTATAAATAGCCCTAACATTCCTTATGTGTTACTCAGCAAAAACATCATAACCCAAGTAGCTAAAAATAGTACACAAAACATTAGCTTTGCTATTTTAGTCCTATATTTTTTCAAGTATGGCTAAGGTGAAGGCTTTTTCTCTTCTTGTTTTGCTTGTTTTTTCAAGTTTTATTGTGTTGTCTGAAAGTAGAGTTGCAAGGATGGATTTAGGGTTGAATTTGGGTGGAATTGGTCTTGGTGTTGGGATAGGGTTAGGGTTAGGTGGTGGAAGTGGTTCAGGTGCTGGTGCAGGAGCTGGCTCAGGGTCAGGATCAAGTTCAAGCTCGAGTTCTAGTTCTAGTTCATCTTCCTCGGGAGGAGGAGGTGGTGGTGGTTCTGAGGCGGGCTCATCTGCAGGGTCATACGCTGGATCAAGAGCTGGTTCTGGATCTGGAAATCGAGGAGGGTCCAGTGGTAGTGGATATGGAGGTGGACAGGGTAGTGGGTATGGTGGAGGAAATGGTGGCAACTAAATCCATGCATGCATGTCATATTTCACTAGTGAAAAAAAATTCACTACCTCAAGAAAATATTAAGTAATAAATATTATGGTGAAGTCTTAATGTAAGGTAACTTTGTACTACTAGTTTGATCATTGTGATTTGTGTTTTAAGGAATTATGTTTGGTTTGTGTTTTATGCATTCTTCACCTTATGTTAAAGTTTTATTTCTACGTACATATATCATTATATATCATATCATCGAAAACAACTCTATTCTCACCAAGACGGATTGTATACAATATATAATGTCACATGTAGTTTCTTTGATACAAATTTTAGTGATAGTGTTAGCTATGATTGGAGGGAGCAAAGCTAAGTGTTGAGTTGTCAAATCTTAAAGTGAATTAATAGTCTTCGCTTATAAAACCGTCAAGGATTATTTGGTTGGGAACAAGTAATTTAGAAAATAATTAATTCGGAATAAGTTATATCAGGATAAGTTATCCACTATGTATATGAGATAACTTATCATATTACTATAATATAAATGGTGGAATAAATAATCCGATAATTACTTAATAACTCTAACCAAACGCATGATAAAATAATCGTATATTAATAACTCTAACCAAAGGCATGCTAATTGTGAAAAAGAACAAGGCCCAAAGATTAGACTTCTACAAAGCCTTTCTTGTTAATAAATGGGCCATGGCCCAATAACAAAATGATTAGAAATTGGCAACTTTTTGAACCATTAATTTGGTGCAAACGCTATATTATTATCAATAAATTTTCTAAAACTAAGTTGACGTTTGACTATAGATTTCAAATATTTATCTCTTTATTTGAAATTTACGAAGTTAGAGTTAAGATGAAAGTTGTGTTTAACTTTCTGTGACGATAGAAGACAATACTTTTTTTAGAACTTATGACTCTATAGTTGATACATGAATTTGAAATATTATTTCAAACATGTATGCCAATTCAAAATTAGATTTTAGAATTATAATAAAACAATAGAAATAAAGCCATTTAGAAAAAAAATGTACAATTCTGACGAAAATACTCCTAAATTTTCAAATTCTTCTGTCTCAAATTAGATATCATGCTTTACTGTTAGAAATTCAAATTAACTCATTTTTTTATACAATTTAAATTTTTATATATATAATCTATACCATAAGTTGAAATTTTTTCTTATTAATTTGATAAAGAAAAAACTAGTGTAGTAGTAAAAGTAAAGTACACATCACAGCTCATATAGTACTGGATATATATATATATATATCTATATGTTATCAAAGTCAGAATTTATATCTATTTATTGTGCTACACCTATTTCATTAATTATTATTTATTCACAACTTAGCTCTTCTTGATTTAATGAATTCAAATTTTTTGTCAGTCAAATATAGTTAATATTCACCAAATGTTTTATAAAAATATTTTTCGAGTGAGTTATGAGGCGGCGTATAATAAAAATGTATAGTAGTGATCTGACGATTATATAAATTATAGTATTTTAATAAATAAAAAATATTAAAATAATATCAAACATCGAATAGAAAAATAAAACGAAAGTTTTTAATAACATGTGAAGTGACATATGCACTAAATTAGGGTTGTTTTTTTCCTTTTTTTTCTTTTTATCATTTATCATTATTATTATTTTTATTATAATAAGAGACAAGATGTGCTTAGTTAGGTCAAAAGAAGACTTTACTTTAAAGCAATCACGTCATTAAGTTCACATTGAACTTTATTCTATAAGCTTTCTTTATTTTATAATTTTATTAAATCTCATTCCAACCACCAAATGTTGGCATCTTAGAGCCTGTTTGGCTCAGCTTAAAAGCTGGTCAAACTGACTTAAAAACTGGTTTTTGATTTATTTAATTGTTTGGCAATACTTAAAATAGCTTATTTTAAGTTAAAAAAAAATTATTTTAAGCCAAAAGTTAAAAGCTGGGGTAGGGATAGTTGTTTTAAGTTGACCATATTTTTATGTTTTTTCCCTTAATATTTTTATACAATCTTCAAATTACCCATATAACTCTAACATCTCTTTCTTCTATTTTTCCCTTTTCACATTTGGCATAACAACTTCAGCACTTTTATCCAAACGCATAAATGCTTATTTTAAAAATAAGTTTCAGCACTTTCAAAAGTACTTTTTTAAAGCTGCTTTTATTAAGCCCATCCAAACGGGCCCTTAATCCTTTTCTTCTTAATAAATAAAATAAAATAATTATTTTTAATAAATACTAAATTAAGTATAAAAATTTACAATGATTGAGTTAGCCCTATTGGTCGGCTTATAGGATTCGTTTTAAAATTTGAATAATTCAAATTTTAAATTTGCATCAGAATATTATATTCTTAAAGTAAAACCAATATCTTAACCTTGAGCAAAATAGTAGTTATATCACTATCTACCGATTCAGACGAATTTATTAAAAATCCATTATGTATATAATTATGAAACTTGTCATTAAGAAAAATTATCTACTTCGTTATAAAAATTATAACTCTTAAAAATTAAAATAATTGACCATCTTTTGTTTGCTATCGACAGTTTATTTCATTAATTAACAATTGATTATTTTAATTTTTCGATTGAGATATACGTTTAGAGTTTCTCTCATAAGAGTTAATAATTATGTT